TCAGTCAAAACAGTTCTATGGTTTAGTGATTCGAATGAAAAAAAAAACAAAAAAAAATACAGGGTGTCTTAATAAGTCAATATTTTTAAATAAAAATAATGAACTTATATAATGTTCAAAATTGAAAATTTTTGGTTATAAAAAAAATAAAAACTTTAGTTAAAATTGTAATTCTTGAGAATATGGCAACAAAGGTAATATATTAAATTTACAAAAAAAAAAAAAAATATGATTTTTGCTTCAATTTTGAGAACCAATGATCTTTCTGATTTTCTTTCTTGCAAATTTAATCTACTACCTATATTGCCATATTATCAAGAAATTATAATTTAACTAAAAATAAAATTAAAAAAAAAAAAAAATTTTTCAATTTTTTTTGGCCACAGACGTGTTTATCGGATCGAAATATACTACCGCTAAAAATATTGGCCTTTATTAAGACACCCTGTATATGTTTTTGTTGCAAACTGAATGATCACGTATCAGTTCTCTATAGTGATTTAATTCAGTTCAAGCAAAACGGTCCATTGTTTCGTATACATGCAATGTTTTACTTTAAACGTTTTGATCGATGTAAAGCGCCATGCAGACCGGCCAAGTAAAATATTTAAAATTAAGTTCTCCTTTTTGCTGTCAGGACTAATCTGGTCTGAGTCTACTTCGTTTATCTAACTCCGAACCGCGTACCTCAGTCATATATGTAATGGCCAACCGAATTATACTACGATAATGTATGGGATGATTCCTAATTTGTTTCTAATAGATATTTCCAATTTTTTCAAATTACCACCCCGTGTAGCGCCAATTTTATTATTAACCTTTTGAAAAAAATGCAGTCTTTATAAAAATTTACTTGCTCTGATATAAGTTTAAGTAAAGGTTAAGTTTGCTTATTACTGAATAGTTAATAAAAAGGTATTAATATTTCATACCGCTTTAACGAAAAAAATAAAAAATATGAAAATAAGGTTGATGTTGAGTCTTTCAAATAAGTGCAAATATTTTAGGCCGTTATATCGTGATAGAAGAAACATATTTTTCTTTGAAATGTTTCCTTAAATTTTGACACGCACTAGATATCTGTATCCACGTATCTGTAACTCGACTATAGTAAATAAATCGAGAAAAGATTCTGACAGACGACATCCAGAAAATGACAGTAAATACAATATGCCTCTAAATAGGCCACTGTCACGCACCTCCCGTTGTACATATAATTAATTCTAGGAATAATATGGAAGTGAATATCGTTGTGATTGAAGTATTTGAAATAAATATAAACTCAAATAAGGCTTACAATATACAAAACTAATTTTTCATGTCTGACATGTAAAAAAATGTAGAAAATTAGTTGGTGTAGAAAACACGGTAGAAAATATAAAATTTTCTACCTACCCAACCCTGAATAGTGACTTGTTTTTGGAAATGTATGAACTAGTTTAACCATTTGAATAAGAAATTTTTTGCTAAAGAAAAGCATTGTCCTCAAAATGTTAATACTGAAAAGTATTTTCCCTTGTAAAGACTATCCGGGGCATACTGTACAGGGTGGCTCAATTCGACGCTTATTATTGATTTCTGAAACCGTAAGAGATACAAAATCGGTTAATGAGAAAGCGCAATTTGTTGCTCAATAAAATGCCGTATTGCATTTTTATTAATTTTTTTTGCATAAAAATATTCTGGTGATGGAAATTTCTGTACGAAACGTCGGCAAACATCAAAGTGACTATATATAGTGTTTTAAGAGTGATGAAAAAAAAAAAAAAAAAAAAAAAAAAATCAGGTCCGTATTTAAAAAATTGTTGATGATGGTCGCCAGAAGCCGAACCGTCAGAGTCCAATATTTAATCAATACAGAGTTATAGAGCGAAAACGTGGCCGCGAAAACAGAAGCTTATTTCGTTATCTTGATAAATAAAGCCAGGAAACAATAGAAACAAAATTGAAAAATTCAAGCCACAGCATTTTATTGAGCATCAAATTGTGCAACCTCCATTTAAACGGATCCTGTATTTCTTACGGTTTCCGACATCCCAATGATGAGCGTCGAATTCGAGCCACCGCCCCTGTCCCCGCGAACCGCCGCGTCGCTCAAGAGAGAAGAGAGAAGTCGGTCACAGCAGAAGACGCGGCGTTGGTACTACCGGCGAGGCGGTCGGCGGTGCTGCAAAGTGACGGCGGCGCCGAAGAGGTCAGCCGAGAGGTCGAAGCGGTACCGCGGACAGGTAGGTGAAAAGGGCGGCTACAGAGGGCGACGGGCTTTACAGTATTATTAACATCGGGCGAGGTTTATGACGGAGAGTATATAGACGGTATATTCTTATACTGATTCAAAGTCATGTCGGGTTTCCAATTTTCGTGATCGGGATTCCGTTTTGAAATCCCGGGATAAGACGCTATAATCCCGGGATCTCAGGAGTGACTATCAGAATACGAAATTTAGTATAAAAAAAATACTTTTTTACATAAAATATTTTGCTTAAAAATAAAAAAGCGTTTCTATGGTACATAATATAATTTCAATTTCATTCTTTGGTATATTTTTTTCGTCATATTTTTTGCTGTTGTTAAACTGCTGTTAAAGTATCACATTTTCCGTTAACTACTACCACCCTTTCCGTAGCATTGAACTAAGTAAATTTTGTGCTTCTTTATAACATTTTAAATCATCAAAAAATGTGACATTAATTAAAATTCTATCAACAATAATCTATCAAAGAATGAAAACGAAATTATATTACCATAGAAACGCGTTTTTAGGACTTAATTTAGACTAGGTAAAAATTCAACTACATTTTCATGTTTTTTCCAAATTTCTCTAAAACGGTATGGAAATTTGGAAAAGTATAAACAGGATTAACCATTTTAGAACAAGCAAGAATTTTTATGAAGAATGCATTTTTGTCAAAATCTTAATAATTAAAAAGTTTTTTTCCTATTGTAAAGACAATCCGGGGACATACTGTATATCAAAAAGAAAAGTGAGAAAAGAGCTTTATTAAAATAGATGAAACAAAGTAAAATTCATATTTAGTAAGTAAAAAAATACCAATTCTTATTGCACAACAGATAACAAACACGGAAATATAACTTTTAGATATTGACGTTGCTTAGTATAAATAAAATTTGATCTTTGAAAGACTAACATGTATAAAGTCGAATCATTTTAGATTGGGCTTTTAAATTTTTCAATATTTTCGGGATCCCGGAATTTCGGGGATAAACATGCACTGGGATCCCGAGATCCCGGTATTGGAAACCCTAATTATACGTCTTTGGCAGTGATGGCGAACCTATGAGACGCTGACGAGCCCATTTTTGGTGACACGCATCTTCAAAGATAAAAAATTTCATTATTCAAATAATACTACCAATACGGGATACAATCTCAACAGTGGCTCACCCTTATAACTTTTTTTATTTTTTCACATAAAAAAACGAGATTTGGTATATTAGGATATGACATCAATTAGGATTGATTGACATATTCAACTGAAGGGATGGCTGCAATAACCAGGCAGCTCCAGTTTTTTCGAAAATGAGATTTTTAATGAATTACCCTTTAAAAAAATTGGCCGATCGTTTCCTGCAACAATCAGTTCTCTCAATATAACAGTACATAAATAGCGACGTTAGTTGGAGCTGCCTTGCTCTGGGTTTGCGGCAAGAACCGAGCAACTCTTTTTCGATTTCCCACAAATTTATTAAAATGGAGCTGTCTGGTTATTGCAGCCACCCCTTTAATTGTCTTTGATCACTTCCTGTTTCACCGGATATGACTACAACTTTTGATTTTTAAATGGCACCCTCGGTATTTTCTTACTTTATGAAGATTGAATTACTGAACAGATTGATTTGATTCGAAATACCAAGTGTGTAGTAACCAAATTGTTCGTAAAAAATGATTTTTTCAAATATGCTAATGAGCCACCCTCGTTTCATTTGAAAATATGAGATATGGTTAAAAATACGATTTGGGCAACTTTTAACCGGCCAGGAAAAGACACGAAAAACATTAGACGATCAAATCTATTTTCCAAGGCTTTAATTAAAAATTGCTGTTTTAACACAGCTATGGCACTCTAGATTGTAATTTAAAATAGATTTTTTTAAGTGTCATTTTCATCGAATAAAGCGAAAAAATATCGAGGGTGTCATTAAAATCAAACGTTATACAGGGTCGTCTACCACATACGACACGGAGTATTGTAGCTAAAACGATTAGATTTTTACAAATTGTAAGTTTTGGGTTCATTGAAGGACTATTAGAGCTACAATTTAAAAATATTTTTTACAAGATAAGAGTGTCCCAAATAAGTAAAACATATTATACGTATTTTTTTAAATGGAACACCCTGTATATTATTCTATTTTTAGATCACGATTAAAATAAAGGTAAATTTGATTAAGGTTTATCGCACTTAAACCAAAACCTGTTTTTGAAATATTTTCAATTTTATGAAATTGTAAAACATTTTAAGGCTACATTTCTCCAAGGGTATCAAAGTTTTTAATACTAAATATTTACTGAAGATTATTTATTGATCAGATATTATGTTGTAAATAATAAAATTTTTACTAGCTTATACAGAGTGTCCAAAAATTGATATTAAATAATTACTAGCTTTAAATCGCAATAACTTGTTTAATTTTAAATAGAACACCCTGTATATTTTATGTGAATCATATGCACAATTTAATTGTTCATCAAATTGTATTATGCGATTTTTACCCATCTCTTCAAGTTTTCGTAGAAAATGCATTTTCTTATAATTTGCACCTCATTAATCACTATACCCATGGAATATTTACATTTTATATTATTATTATTAAAGATGTAACAAATTTTCAAAGAGTATACAGACACTAATATTGTCATATAGTTCGCTTATTTCATTAAAAATAAAATAAAAAACTGTTTGGGAATATTTTTGTTAAAGAGGACTAATTAATATGATCCCAGTATTCAAACTATATTAATTGACTGTTTATGTTGTTAACCCAGATAAGCCTACCGTCCGTTTAAACATACACTTTACAAACTCTTGTAAAATAAAGATTCGGATATCCTTTGGTAGATGGCGCCACCAAGACAATAACCTGTTGATGTTTCTTCAGCAGATTTCCAATGAGTGGTTATTAGAGCGTGTTTTGAGCGCCAGAAATAATTTGTGAAATTTAGTGACTTCCAAGAGTAAAAAACATGGATAATTGGAGGTAAGAATTTTAGAAATATTATAATAATGAATTATTGTACATACCTATATTTACATTAGTTTGGAAGTATAGTTTTTGATTTAGGATCATTTAACCCAATAATTTTATTTTCTCATTGGTAACATAACCTCAAAGTGTGGTGTTGGTTTAAACATGCGGTAGCATAAAGAGGTATTATAATAGACAATATTTTTTTTCGCAACCACTAGGTTTATAATCGTCCAAAAATTCGAAAAAATTGCGCCGTAGTGTGTGTCTCTGTGTGGGTGTGTAAAAAAAATAAAAAATTGCTCTTTTGTTTGCAGGAAGTGGAAGAAGCCGCTAAAACTGCATGAGATTATAGAAGAGATTCAAAATTTGAGTGATGATACAGAAATACCTGACGGAATTGCTGTTTTTCCGCCAGATGGATGGAACACCGATGAGGATTCTGGCGACGAAAATACCGTTATCTTAGATAACCTTCCTGGGAGCCAGCTAATGGCTGATGCTGAAGTAATTTTTGATCGTCAGTCCCCTGATGGCGGGGAATGTGAAGGTGATAAAAACAGAGATGATATTCCATCAACATCTGTAAAACGTTTAAAAATGGCTGAAGATGCTGACTCTCTTTGCAATCCTACAGGGGTGTTTGAGGATAATCACTATGACTCCGAGGATGAACTTCCCTTGGCAACATATTTACCTGCCAATCAGCAACATGCATTGCCAAACAAGATGAGGAAAAAACCTTTATATACTTGGAAAAAAGAAGATATAAAACCTGACTTTTCAGACTGGAAAGAATATTATGGCCCGAAAAACTCTCTGTCGCCACTAGAAATATTTTCTTTGTTTATTGACGATGAAGTTGTTAATTTGATAACCGATTATTCAAATTTATATGCATCACAGCATAATCACGCAGGAGATATATCTGCAAATGAGGTCAGGACTTTTATAGGAGTGTTGCTTCTAAGTGGTTACAATCAATTCCCTAGAAGGGCTATGTACTGGGAGAATAGCGACGATGCTGGAAATAAATTGGTGTATTCTGCTATATCAAGAGATAGGTTTACCTATATTATGCAAAATATCCATACAAATGATAACACCTCCTTGGATCAAAATGATAAATTTTCAAAGATGCGACCATTATTTGATTTAATCAATAAAAAATTTCAGCTGTTTGCACCATTTGAAGAGTGTCATAGTGTAGACGAGTCTATGGTTCCTTACTATGGAGGTCATGGCTCCAAACAATTTATCCGGGGCAAACCCATCCGTTGGGGCTATAAACTATGGCAAGGAACCACAAGGCAGGGTTACATCGAATGGTTTGAACCTTATCAAGGTTCCAAAACACCACTACCTGAGAAATACCGACCGTTGGGTCTAGGAGCAAGCGTTGTTTTACAGTTCGCTGATGTTCTGCAATCGAATGATATTCAGCCCAACGCACCTTTTCACGTATTTTGTGATAATTTTTTTACCTCCTTGCCACTCCTAAGTGAACTAACAGCAAGAGGGTTGAAGTGCACGGGCACCCTTAGGGAAAATAGAATTTCCAGTTGTCCACTTAGAAATTCCAAGCTGATAAAAAAGGAAATCCGTGGTACATTTGAATATTCTTTGGAGAAAAGCACAAATGTCATAGTTTGTAAATGGAATGACAACAATGTTGTTACCATAGCGTCAAATGTCACATCGCCCCTTCCTACGCAGCCAGTAAAAAGATTTTGCCAAAGTAAGAAGAAAAATGTCAACATTGACCAACCTCATATGATCAAAAAATATAACGAGAGTATGGGAGGCGTCGACAGAGCTGATCAAAATATCAGCTTATACCGGATCGCCATTAGAGGAAAAAAGTGGTACTTTTGTTTATTGGCTCATTGCCTAGATATGGCAGAACAAAACGCTTGGCAGCTTCATAAACGCAACGGCGGGAATATGGATCATTTGACTTTTCGAAGATGTATTGCTGCTGCATTGCTGGAAACTTTTAAGAAAACAACAAAACGTGGCCCATCGAAGAAAAGTAAGAACAATCATCTAGAATCAAGATACGACAGGCTTGACCATCTGGTCATTTATCAAGAGAAGCAGACCAGGTGTGCCGTGTGTCACAAACAGGCAGCATTCCGTTGTGAAAAGTGCGATGTGGCACTTCATCCAAAAATTTGTTTCCTAAGTTATCACACTAAAGAATAAAAGTCTATTACAATTTTGTTTACTTTTATGTTGTCATTTCAATGTAAAATCAAATTGTATATCTAGATTTGGTTAAGTTGTAAAAGTAGTCCTAGTTCCTACCGTCCGTTTAAACATACACCTACTATCTTCAAATCTTTTATCTAAAATAAAAATATTTATAAGAAAAAAGTGTTTCAAATAGCTTATCTAAAACGCCTCTAAATTTTTATAAGGAAAAATGAAAATAAAAGTTTCAGTAATATCTGGGTTAATAATAATTGCTCCAAAACTAAAAACTGGAATTTGTGTGTATATTAGACACTGTCGTAAAAAGTAACACTTATAAATTTTATTTCATTTTTGACGAATGCTAATTTATAAAACAGAGACGATATTTTCAAAACTTATTATTATATTGATTTCCTGAGCTTCAAACTACACATTTATTGAATACTTTATTAATTAAAAGAATTTAAAAGTATGTAATTAACTAATTTTTGGTGGAAATAATGGTATATTTAATTGGTATACTTTACAAAGATTTAAATAGTCTTTGTATACAAATAAGCTTGCAATATTTACCACCTGTATATTTTGTACATATATGTTGCTTTAAAAATCTGAAATGTCAATATTCCATGGGTATAGTGATAAATGAGGTCTAAATTATAAGAAAAATGCATTTTCTACGAAAACTTGAAGAGATCGTGGTAAAAATGATATAATATAATTTGATAGACAATTAAATTGTACATCTAATTTCTAAAATATATAGGGTGTTTCGTTTAAATTAAACAAGTATTATCGTTTAAAACTAGTAATTATTTAATATAAATTTTTTTGACACTATATAAGCTAGTAAAAATGTTATTATTGCTACATAACATCTAATCAATAAATAATCTTCAGTAAATATTAGTATTAAAACTATGATACCTTTGGAGAAATGAAGCCTCAAAAATTTTGTCTGCAATTTCATAAATTGAAAATATTTCTGGGAAAAACGTAAGGTTTAAGTGTGATAAACCTTAATCAAATTTACCTTTATTTTGAATCGTAGAACTAAAATAGGATAATATACAGGGTGTTCCATTTAAAAAATACAACTATAATATTTTTTTACTTCTATTTGGGACACTCTGTATCTTGTAAAATATTTTTAAATTGTAGCTTCCATTAGTCCTTCAACGAACCCAAAACTTACAATTTGTAAAATCTAATCGTTTTGTTACAATACTCCGTGTCGTATGTGGTGAACAACCCTGTATAGTCATTTCCGGTGAAACAAGAAGTGACCAATAACAACTGAATACGTCAACCAATTCTAATTTATGTCATATACTAACATACCAAATCTCGTTTTTTTTTTCTGGAAAAATAAAGAAGTTATAGAGGCGAGGAGGCACTTTTTTGAGACGCACCCGGTATACAATCTTTTGTTTATACGGTGGTACTGCTTTCGTTTCATAAAGCAACATTCAAAAAATATTAAAGCACGCCGCATCACCAAACGACCGTAAAGGTATCATCCTTTCAACGACTGTCCTTTTCAACTTCGCGAAGTAGTACCTCGTCCAATAAAATCGCAAACGATCCGAGATCGATTTACATCGAGGCGCCGTTTTCCATTTTTATCGCTCCAATTAAGTCTTCTGATATCGCGTTACGTTTAACCGAATGGTTTTATTAGAATTGTATGGGGCACTAAGTCTGGCGGATCGGACGGACGTACCACGACAATGTCCAATTGAAAATCGTTTACTTTTAAACGGTTTCATATCGCTGCGCTCTACAACTCGGCAGCTCCATGAATATGAATACGATCTTTTTCATTTATCATGACTTAATTTATAGTTTCTTGTTTCTTTCGTAGGCTTGCTTCTGTGTTTTTTACATTGTTTTAATTGTTACTTTTGTAATGCTATTTTTATCATATTTAGATCTTTTTCTTTCCCGTTTTTAGTGAATTTGTTTTGTGTTTTTCGTTATGAGTGTTTCTTATTTTTTAAGATTTTATTTTTATCGTTAACAGCGTCTTACTCAGACGAATAATATACAAGGTGTTTCAAAAATATGTCCCATATTTCGTGGGGAGCTTCCTCAGGTAAAAATAAGATTTATTTTTTACGAGCATATCTACAGAGGTCCGATTCTGCTTTTTTGTAGCTACAGGGGGTTAAAGTCTTCATTTTTTCGAGTTATTATATTTTTTTCCAAGTATTTTTAATGATTAGAATAAATTGAATTTATTTATAATTAATTATCAATTAATAAAAAGAAAAAAAATTAAGGTTAAAAGTTACTATAAGTGCGTCATATTCTAATGCTAAAAAAGTTGACAGATTCACCATGTATCTTGATATTTTGTCGATTTCGATCTCTTTAATGAGATAAACGGAGAAATTGATTTTATCTTCACAATTAATAAAACTATAGTTTATTATTGTAATATATTTATTTCCATATTTTTGTAGGTACATAGAATTTAAAGAATGTTGTTTTTATTGTAGTTCTGCGATATATAAAATATTATTTAGATAGTAAGACACAGTTTCTTTGTAGAGTTTATACCAACTATTTTAAACATTATTAAAATATAGTTAGTACCAAAATATACATAAAGTTTGATTTCCACTCAACCAGCGAGTATTCCACAAATATTAAATTTTATATGACTGATTTTTAATGCTACCTATAGCAAGTTCCAAAAAATGGTATTTAAGATAACTACAAAAGACCTATTTTTTAGAGGTTTTGACATCCTGCAACTTTAAAACTAAGCATTTCTAATGCAACACTCATGTTTATAGGGACTTTTTCATATTTTTTAATCAGTACTTATTTAACACTCTAGCCAGTTAATGACATTAAAAAAATGTAAAGGTTGCTATTAGACTTGGATTAAGGCAAATTAATAAAATTGTGT